GCCCAGAGCCTACCTGGGATTCTGTCTCTCCCCTCTGCCCCTCCCCAGTTTGTGCTTTCTCAAATAATAATAATGATAATAATAATAATAACTTATAATGCAAAACAAACAAACAAAAGGCTTGGTCAATCAGGAAAAATGGTCCAAATGAAGCAATAACCAAAGCCAAAGCAGGGGGCCGGCCGGAGCTGGTGCGAGCACCCCGGACTGATGAAACCCCCGCCCCAGACGGAGACATCTGCCCTCTGTTTGGCCCGAATCACCTCTGGGGTCAGCGTCGGGTTTCCGCTGGGCTTCCTGAGCCCCCTCCCCGCCCTCCCACCAGCCGCCTCTCGCGTTCCCTACCCCGGGTTGCAGCCCTGTTCTCACAAGGCGAAGCCCTTGCAGATGACTCGCCATCTGGGCCCGGGGACGGCTCCTTGGGCCCTGCCCTCATCTGTCCCTCCCTCTGTGATGGGCGGTGGCTGCCAGCAGCTCCAGGGTGACACACCCTCGGGCTGGGGTCTAGGGACACAGGGCAGCTTCCGGCCACGCCCTTGGATGCACTTTGATTTGACCTACTTGGGCCACAGGCCCCCGCCCCCCCAGCCAGTCTCTGCAGCTGTGGGCACTGGATGTCCTGACCCGCCAGGACCCCTGAACACGAGTCTGGGGGGGGCTCCCCAAGGGGGGAGTGGTACCAGTGCTTCTCCAGTATCGCCTTCACAGACACGAGCTGGGCCCCGTAGCCCCGAGTGTCGGTGGGCGGGGAGCCTGCCTCGCCGTGTTTCTGGAAGGACACCACCACCCACCCTGCAGAGAGTGGGAAACCGACACTGATTTGTCCCCCGCGCTCAGCGCCCCCCCCCCAGGAAGCCTGTTCTCCACGTGCTTCCCAGGCTAAGTCACGGTCAAGAACTGACCAGGGACTCTGGTTTCCAGCCTTCATTACTGCCCATGGGCCATCCCTTCTTCCCCTGGGGACTCTGGGCATGTGTCAGTCCCCCGCGCCTCTCAGTCCCTGGGGACCTTCCCCTTTCTGGATGTGCTTGTGGCTCCTGTCGCTGCCTTGTGAGGTCACCAAATCTGCGTGGGTCCCACAACAGTAAATCTCTGGCTCCTGTACCCCCAGCGGTTCTGGAGTTTTATCTGACTCCCCCAAAGTCCCTCCACTCCTGGGAACACGGCGTGGGTTGGCAGTGAAAATCAGGCAGAGGACACAGAAAACCAGCAACGGCATCAGGCTCTGCGGCTTTCAGAGATGCCCCCTCCTGGTACCTCCCTCTAGACACCACGATATACTCCCTCCGGGCAAGGGCTTCCCCACCCGGCGCACTGCCCGCAATGCCAGGGGGACTGGTTAGGGACCCAGTCACCTGGCACCTCTCTCCCAGGAGGCCTGAGGGCCTGCGAGCAAATGGGATGCAGCTGGTGGGCCCAGACACCCTTGTATCTGCAGTGGGGATGTAAGCATGTAAGCAGGTTCCCCCCGCCAGGACCTAACTGTCCCTCCCCCCCACCAGAACACACCCAGTGCAATGACCAGGTCTGTAACCCGCCGCACCCCGTGTCCCAGAGGAAGAACGAGAGCGTGGGTTTTGGCAAAACAATTTTACTGTTTAAAAAATAAATGTCACATTTGGCATAAAAAAGTCATTTCAAAAACTCGGTTCTGAATGCGCCTCACGGTCTGAGACGTCCTCAAGTGTCCACTACTTCCATCAAAGCCAGGGGGCAGTTTCTCTCTGTGCAAAAGGGCAATGGCACCTTCCTGCCGCCTCGTGCCCACCGTCCCCCCCCCCCCCCGCACAGGGGACGCGGCCCCTCTGAGAATGGCCCTCTCCTCGCCGCACGGGAGCCCAGGACGGAGCACCCCAGCGTGGGACAGGGACGCCCGGACACGGTCCTGACGGTGACACGCCCCGGTCTCCACGCTGCCCCCCACCGCCCCATCTAGGTCTCTCGCTGGCGGGGGACCCACTCGGCCTCCCTGGTGGGAAGCAAGGCCCTGCGCCCCGTCCAGGCAGCAACCGCCCCCGCGCCAAGCGGACACGCTCAGCCCTGTTCTCCCAGGAGGACGGGCCCAGGGCGGAGCGGGGGGTGGGGGGCAGGTACAGGTCATCCCTCAGAGACGGGGATGCACTCAGGGCCGATTAGCGCCGACCCAGGGTCCCGTCCTCTCCCAGTTACCCATCTCATGTCGTTTCATGGCTGACGTTTCTAGGCTTACGCAGCAGGTCCAGCTAAAGGCCCAAACTGGACAGACTGATGCGGTGCCTGTTGACACTTCCGCTTTCAAAGCGAATTCAGATACGCTCCGCTGGGCGCTCAGCAAATGAAGACGCGTCTGCTTGGCCTTACACGGGCGGGGCAGAAAAGATGCAGAGACTTCCTTTCGAACACCTGAGAGCAGGGTGGGGGCCGACAGGCAGCAGACGGACAGTTAATCTAGACGTGTCCTGGTCAGACACAGTCGGGGGGGGGGCGGGGATCTGCTTTGCAAACATGAGCTCCCGGAAGCCGGCTGGAGAGGAAGTATCCCCACCGGGACCGGTCTCCCCGGCTTGCTAGGATTTCCGAGAGGCCTCCTCAAATCTCTCGCTGCTTCTGCGTCCCGCTGGGGAAGCATCAGTGACCTTGCACCTTGCTTAGCGACGAGCCTGGGATCCTCACGCCCCACTTCGGGCTGCAGGGGTGGGGGCGGGAGCGCAGACCTCGGCCACGGCAGGTCCCCCCGCACACAAGCGGCTCTGGGTTCCCGACCTCCAGGGGAGCACCCGAGGGGGGTGAGGACAGCTCTGGACGGCGCTCTGCTCTAGTGCCAGCCGGGCACATGGGGGCAGGGGGCGCCCCCCTCGAGCCCCAGGCCAGCAACACGAGGCGGACGCCCAACCTTGGGGACTGTGGCTTGGGTGACCCACCGGTTGGCAGAGGAGAGACAGCGGGCAGGGCCCTTACCCTCCTCCTCCAGGGCCACCAGCATGGGCTGCAGCCTGGCGTCCGGGCGCCCAGCAAAGGAGGCGTGGGAGGGGGTACAGGCAGCAGAGGCTGCAGGTAAGCATGCTGACGGCCAGGGGACAGGGGACGGCCTGGCGACACCAGGAGGTGGCCGGCCTCTTAAGGTCCTGGCCCCTACCAACTTTGTGTTTCAAGGGGCGGGCGGGTGCAGATGGCGCTAGCCTGCCGCCGCGGGGGTGTGGGGGGGAGGCTTTCCTGTGCGTCTCTTCTTCTGGAACACTCTGCCAGGTAGCTTCTCTACAAGTGGACTAAGTTCTGCGGGGTCCTGGGTACTTAGGACACGATCGACCTGGATAAAACTGATGCCGAGTCTGCTTACGTGAGGCTGCAGGTATTTCTGTGCGAACCAAAGTTGTTTGTTCCTAAAAACTGAATTACATGAAACACCCCCCCCCCAGCCACACACACACACACACACACACACACACACACACACACACGGTTCTGTGGAAGCTTCTCCCTTTCTCCATCACGCTGTCCTCAGCTCTCTGAACTAACGGGGCGAGGAGGGAGCGAGGCAGAGCGGGAGCGCGCTCCGGGCCCGGGGACAGGGACGAGGAGCCTTCCCAGCCACAGGCCACTGGCAGCGCTCCGACTCCGCTAACAGGAAGCAGGGGGAACGAGCCACTGTGCACAGACAAGGAGGGAAGGTCATCAAGACAGCGACAGTTTTGACTTGCGGTTCACAGAAAACTGCTCCCAGATCAAAACCAGAATCTTAGGCTGCAGCCACCTGGAAAGTCCCTCAGCTCTTTCCCCACAACAAATGGTCATAAGCTTGTTCTAGAGCTGCTAACGAGGAGGGGCCCTTCCGCCTCCTCTGCCAGCAGGTCCTTGAGCGCACACCGGCCGCCCACTGCCTCCCCGGTGAACCGCCGCTGTGGGCAGGAGGGGGCGCCGGCGGGCCGGCACCCCTGTCGTCATCAGCAGCCCCCCCTCCCCGGCTTCAGCTTCTGCGTCATCAGTGAACAAGGCACACAGGGTGGCTGAGAGGGTAGCCGAGGCCTAGCGAGCAAAGCCTGGGTGATCGCTGACTCCTGAGGGAAGATGAGGATGAGGGTACAGAAAGGATCAAGGCCATCAGCCCCCCGGGGGCCCGGTTCTGAGGATGGCTTCTTCCCTGGGGCACAGGGCTGGGGGGCGGGGGGGAGAAGCAGATGTGGAGTTCTCGGTGGATTTTGCTGCTGTGATTTTTGAGACAGCACTTGACCGTGGCGAGGAGAATCTCGGGCAGCTCCGCCCCACCCCTACCCCCTGCACAGGCTCCACGGATGAAGGCGGGGGAGGACTTCTGAGGCCGGGACATCCTGGGCTCACCCCCGCACAGACTCACTGTGATTCCGAAACGGTGACCTCGGACCCTGCTGGCCCTACATCCTGGAGGCCTCCGTGGGCATGTGGGGGTCCCACTCTCTGTGTTGCAGCCGCAGAGAGCTAAGTTCCTACAGAACATGGGGCGGCACTGGGGGCGGTGCTGGGGCCGGCGACCCAGGGGAGCGGGCTGCAGAGTGGGAAGGAAGGCACCCAGCAACTGCTAGCAGGGGCTCCTCCCTGGTAGCCGCCGAGAGGGCAGGGATGGTGCGAGAGCGCCCCCACGTGGCCGCGGGTGGCACCGAGCCTGAGCCAATCCTGTCCCCTCATGCCCGCTGGCCAGCCAGGTGCCTAAAAGCTAAAATGCCGACCCTCCAGAGAGACTTCCTGACCGGGCACTGGGGCTCTGCCTCGCCAAGATCGGCTCTCTTGGCATAGAGAAAGGTGCCCTGTCTGGACGGGTCGCTGGAGGCCAGGGGAATTTCAACAAGAGCGCCCTCCACACGGGGAGCCCCCCTCCCAAGCACCAGAGTCACACACACACATCTCAAAGGGAGCCCAGAATTCTTTTAAATTCATCGCCTTGAAGAAAGTGTAAACAATCAGAAGTAGAGAAATAGATCTGGCTGGGCTCCTCCTGCCCAAGGAACACCAAAGCCCGCCACACGTGTGACTTTAAAACGAGAGAGTGGTCAGAGTCATCGGTCTGATCCCTTTACTGTCCGGTCTTGGGGGTGTGACTCTGTGGGAAGCTGGAATAAAAATCAAATGTGTGAGAATATTTTTTAAAATAATTTCAGAGACCCCCCTCCAAACTTGGGGGTTTCAGGAAAACAGGTATGACGGACCCACCTAATCAGGAACAGAGAACCCCCCTCCTCTTAAAGAGAAGCTACCTCATCCTTTCTCCCCAGCTCTTCTGCAGCGTGTTGGCAGGGGGGGCCGGGAGACAGCAAGTAGGCGGCTCCATCCAGCTCCGACCACGGGGGGCCGGGAGGGGGAGGAGAGGTGGGTGGGCCGCCTGCCCTCCCCTACACTGTGGCCCCATGAACCAGCCACATCCCTGAGAAGGTTCTAGGTGGCCAGCACTGCCAGGGAGCTGCAGCCGCCCCTGCCCCCCGAGAGAAGACCTCGTTCCCGTTTGGTCAGATCAGAGCCTCTGGATGGTGTAGACCGTTTACATGGCATCTGTCCCCACAGATGACGTGTCACCACCAGAGAAAGACTTAAAGACTTAAGTGGATCTTTACTGGTAAAGCAAGAGGGTACATTGAGAGCGGAAACGCCCCCTGCAAGTCCCCTGAGGTATAAAGGACCCTCTTAAGCGAGGGATCCCTGGAATGACCATCTCTGCCCACTGTGCATCACACAGGGGGGCAGCTGGGGGTGGCGGGCGGGCAGGGGACCTCCCCCCACATGGAGGAAGGGAGCTCCAAACACCAGGTGGGAGATTTCTTTCCACTTCCTAGTATTTGGTGCTGTGTCACTCGTCTGGGGGGACAGCAGAGAGACAGAGGGGATGGGAAGGGACCCCCACCATCGTCAGAACTGAGGAGAAGGGAACCCAGAGAGACAGAGAGCAGGAGAGACAGCCACAAAGAGGCCCGAACAGCAGGCTAAGTGTCAGGGGCTCCGGAGAAGGGGAGGAGGGGACAGAAGAAACGGGCACTCGGCCAACCCGATGTCTCCAAACAGTTCCCATCCTGCTCTGTGCAGGCCCTGCACCCAATGGACACCTGCGTTCCCTTCTCTCCACCATCCACCATCTGCAGCCTTCCTTTCCATGGGAGCAGGCTCAAGGGCCACCCCATCCAGGAAGCCTTCCTGGATGAACCCTCACCACTGCATTCTTGCTGAAGCAGGGAGCTTTCCCGCTGTCCTGTTTTGTGCTGCTGGTGTTAATGTGGAACTGCCACAGGTATGTTCTGAAGGTGGAGACTCCTCTCCTGAACCAGACTGGAAACTTCCCAAGAGCAGAGACTCAGTTTCTTCCTCGCGTCTGTGTCTGCCCACACGACTAGACAGGGACTGTCAAAGGGATGGGGACGAGGCCTCGTCCTTTCCTCTCTGGCGGCCTAGCCCCGAGGCATCGGGTTCCAGATGGTTCCAGACGGCCAGGGCAGGTGGCAGGACTGAGGAGAGGGGAGCAGTTGAGGGAAAGCGAGCGTGGGAGTGAGCCAAGGCCAAAGGCGCCCTCATCCCAGAAACGCCTCGTAGTCCATGTACCAGACCAGCTGGCCGGAACTAGGCAGGACGCCCGAAATGGGCCAATTCTTGGGCTCGTGGCCCACGCGGCTCACCAGCATGGTGATCTCGCGCTTCACCCGGCCCATGACCAGGACCGCCACCTTCCGGGCGCGGTTGATGAGGGGCAGGCTGAGGCTCATGCGCTGCTGGGGCCCCGAGGGGCTCTCGGTCAGCACGACCAGCGGCTCGCCGTCCAGGCCGGTGGGCGAGTGCGGGAAGAGGGAGGCCGTGTGCCCATCCATGCCCATGCCCAGCAGCACCAGGTCGAAGCTGCTGTTGGCCACCAGGGCGGAGATCTCGCCGGCGTACATCTGGGCGCCCCGGTCCTCCGCGGCGCAGAGCCGCTGGTGCAGGTGCACGGGCATGGGGTGGACGTTGTAGTAGGGGACCCTGATGTGCTGCAGCAGGTGGGCCTGCAGGCCCTGGAAGTTGGACTCGGGGTCCCAGAGCGGGACGCAGCGCTCGTCCACCAGCCACAGGTGCGTGCGGGCCCAGGGGAAGCCGAAGTGCCCGCTGGCCAGCTGCTGGAACAGGGCCACAGGGCTCGAGCCGCCCGACAGGGCCAGGTGGAAGGTGCCGACACGCCGCACGGCCCGCACGGCAGCGGCCTCGATGTCGTCGGCCAGCTTCGCGATCAGCTCCTCGGGCCAGGCCGAGATCAGCGGGCTGTCCCGGTACGTGGCCCTGAGGACCTGGAAGTCACTGGGCAGCAGCGCAGGGCCGGGCCCCGGCACCAGCTGCTCGGGCTGCCGCTGCGAGAAGTGCAGCTGGGCGCCACGGAACTCGAAGTCCAGCAGGGGCCCGTTCTCGGCGCCCCCTGGGTAGAGGCGTGGGACCTCGTGGGCCAGGCTGTCCAGCAAGGGCGTCCAGAAGGCCCAGGAGGCCAGCAAGTTCTCCGTGGTGATGAAGGAGTCCTTCCGGCCGTGGAAGATTCGGGATATGAGGACGGAGTAGGCGTCCTGCTCCCTCACGGGGCCGTAGGCGTAGTAATCGGACAGAGGGCGGCCGAAGAGGTGGAGCCCCGGGCGGCCTTCCAGCTCCTTCCAGCTCTCGGGGGGCAGGGAGGGCCTGAACAGGTTCCGACTGACCAGCACGGCGGGGCCGCCCAGCTCGCCGTGTCCAATGTAGAAGATGATCTGCCGAGGGAGGCACTGGCTCTGCTCAGCGACCCAGCGCTTGTCGTTCTGCACACAGTAGGCCTGGTTCCTGAACAAGATGCGGACGTAGCCCACTCTCTCGTCCAGGGCTTTGCCGGACATCAGGATGAACGGGACACCCTCCCAGCGAAGGCTGTCTATGTGCACAAGGATGCCTGAGGGACGGGGGGCAGTGGGAGTCATACTCTGGCACAGAGAGCCGGGGACCCCCCCAGGGCACTGGCCTTCCCTTCCTCACCTCCGCTGGCCCTTCTCTTCACTGCCCCGCCTCCTCCGGGCAGCCCACTACCTATGGAGCACCCCTGACCTTGCTATGCTCCCCCTTTCCAGCATCTTCTCCTCCCAGCAGGTGCCTGAAGTGCAGCCTCTGGGCCGCCCCGGACTCCCACCTCCATGAGGCGCCTGGGAGTCCAGTCCCCCTGACAGACAACTGTCGGGGCGGGGTGGGGGGGCGGTGATCCTGGCTCCTGGTGGGAAGGGATGCTTCCCTCCAGTCTGCAGAGCACCCGGGTCAGGTGGCGGGGGGGGGGGGGGTAACGGGGCCTGCAGGGCACCCCACGGTTCTACCAGCCAGTGGCCGAGTATGCTCCTGAACCTGGTTTTCCCGTCTCTGCATGACCTTGGGCAAGTTTTTGCAACCTCTCTGAGCCTCCCATCTCCTGACCTTTAAATGGGGATAACAGTCATCTCTGCCCTGCGGGTTCATACATGCGGGGATTTAACAAGGTAGAGGTAACGTATATAAAGTGCCTGGCACGCAGTCAGTGCCCAATAAACCGCTGCCGCTTCCACCGTGGAGTTTGTTTCCTGCAGCGTCAGGGAGCCGGCCGCTCCAGGAACGCGCTGGGCCCGCGGGACTGTCCACAGGGCGTCTCTGGTGGACATCTGTCTGGGCAGCAGTCCCTAGGGGAGGCTGGGGGCGCTACGTGTGAGTGGGAGCCAAGTCTGAGCCCACCCGAGAGCTCTGGACGTGCGTGCGGAAGGGGACTGACCCCAGAACACCACTGGGGCGCCCTGCACCCACACAGACCCAACAGGTGCCCCGCTGCTCTAAGACGGGGTGGGGGCGGAGACGCAAAGGAATGTCCTCCTTGCTGACAAGCAAGGCACACGCCAGCCGAGGTCCCTTCCCACCCAAAGTGAAGCGTGTCTGCACCCGCGACGGCCCCCTGCACCCGGCCCCCGCGCGCACCTGCAAAGGTGGGCGTCCGGCTGTGGAAGGTGTCAGGCTTCTGCTGCTCTCTGCGCACCTGCTCGCTGTACGCCTGGTACTGGCCCAGGACGGCGCTGCCCTTCTGCAGGCCCCGCAGGGCCTGGAAGGTGCGCAGCTTGTGCTGGAGCATGGACTCGGGGCTGCTGGTGTTGTGGGGCAGCTCCATGGCCACAAGGGTGAGGACCTCGGTCAGGTGGTTCTGGAGCACGTCACGAATGACGCCGTACTCCTCGTAGAAGCCGGTGCGGCCTGTATGGGAGCAGACAGGGAACAGAAGCTGTAGGGAATCGTCACCGGGGCACCTGGGGGGCTCGGTCAGTTGAGCGCCTGACTTTGTTTCGGCTCAGATCACAATCTCACAGGGATCGGGCCCCACGCTGGGCTCTGCGCTGACGGTGTGGAGCCTGCTTGGGCTTCTCTGTCCCTCTGTCTCCACCTCTGCCCCACTCACACTTGCTCTCCCTCTCAAAATGAATAAACTTTTAAAAAGTGGGCAATGTGCCCGACTTCCCCAAGGCACTTCTGGTCCCCTGCCCCCTGTCCCCACCCCCTCCCCCAGACCCCTGCAGCCAGCATCTTCATCCCCTAGTCCAGAGAGCTGACAAACATGACTTATGCCGGAGCAAATCCCAATCAGAGAAAGAAGGGGGGTGTCTTTGAGCATTCTCAGTGAAGCTGCCAAACTCTTGGGCCTTCCCAGGAATCTGTGTGGGGAAGGGTCTGGTCCCAGAAAATGCCAGACTGCATTTATCTGCAGGTATGCGGCCGGACTCCAGCTCCTCCCCAGGCGTCGGCTGGGAGGTCTGGGGTCCCAGGAGGCTGTGGCTTCGAGGCGAGGGCCTGGGCTCTGGCTGCCGCCTGCTGGCACACGGTTCTGGGCGTTACCTGACTTCTGGGTGTGTCTCTGCGTCCTGCCCTTGCGTGAGGCTGGCAGCCACCACCCCATCACCAACGGCACAAGTGTGCCAGGCAGTGTGCAGGGGCCCAGGGGGTCCCCGGCCCCGGCTTTCAGTGGGAGGGGAGAGAAAGTGGGTCAGTGAAGGAACTAGCAACAAAGAGTGGGAGGAGAGCAAAGGGAGGGTCCTCTAGGGCCGGGGGGTGAGCACCGCCAAAGCCAGGCCAAGACCGGTGAGGAGCCTTCGACCCGACAGCCTGGCACAGGCAAGAGCTCGCTGGGAGGGTCCACGGGAAGGTGAGCAGGACGGAGAGGCCAGCGGGGCAGGGGCTGGAGGGTCTATGTTCAGGGGAAGCCAGTGGAGAGCCGGCAGCAGGGGACAAGTTCCCGGGCTGCTGCGGGGGGGCTGGACGCCAGAGCAAGGAGGCCGAGCAGGAGGCTGTGCGGCTGCCCCAGCGGAAAGGCCGCCACGCTGGCAAGGCGGAGGGGGTGGGCCGTCTGTGCTGGGGACAGGGGTGACCAGACGTGCTGAGCGCTGGGTGCAAGCACGGGAGAACCGCTAGAATAGGGGCCCACGCCAAGGATGGGCGGCGCTGGGGGACACGGGGAGGGGAACAGTCTGGTGGAGGGGAAGCCGTGAGTTCCTCTTGGGTGTGTTTAAGATGAAGGCATCCAGGTGAGGACAGCAGGTTGGCAGGTGGATTATGGATTAGAAACAGCAGAAAAGAGTCAGTCATGAGAAGAAAGATCTGGTGAGATTATCCTGAGCGCAGGATAAAGGGAAAGACCACACACACACACACACATACACACACACACACACACACGCATACACTGTACGCCTCCCCTTCGAGATGAAACTGTACCATGCAGGGAATCCAGCCTACATACAAACAATGAAGGGAGCAACCCACCCCAAATCTGGAACAGTAAAGGAGAGGAAACGGTAAAGAATTTGGGGAAAGATACAATAAAGCTCTTTTTAAAAACGGGGCACCTGGGTGGCTCAGTCAACCAGCTGACTTCAGCTCATGATCTCAAAGTGTGTGAGTTCCAACCCCACATCAGGCTTGACACTAACAGTGCGGAGCCTGCTTGGGATTCTCTCTCCCCCTCTCTCTGCCCCTCCTCCACTTGTGCTCTCTTTCTGAGTAAATAAACTTAGAAAAAATGTTTTAAATGGCTTGGTTGGTCCTTGACCTCAACCGCAGCAATTTCTGACTTGACACATCTCCAGAGGCAAGGGACTCAAAAGCAAAAATGAACTTTTGGGACCTCATCAAGATAAAAAGCTTTTGCACGGCAAAGGAAACAATCAACAAAACTAATATAGGCAACCGATGGAATGGGAAAAGATGGTTGCAAATAACATCGGATAAATGGCTAGTATCCAAAATCTATAAGGAACTCACCAAACTCCACACCTAAAAAACAAATAATCCAGTGAAGAAATGGGCAGAAGACATGAACAGACACTTCTCCAAAGAGGACATCCAGATGGCCAACAGACACATGAAACGATGCTCAGCATCCTTCATCAGGGAAGTACAAATCAAAACCACACTGAGATACCACCTCACGCTGGTCAGAGTGGCTAAAATAAGCAAATCAGAGGACTCTAGATGCTGGGGCGAGGATGTGGAGAAACGGGCACCCTCCTACACTGTTGGTGGGAATGTAAACTGGTGCAGCCCCTCTGGAAAACAGTGTGGAGGTTCCTCAGGAAATAAACAATAGAACTCCCCTATGACCCAGCAATAGCACGGCTAGGGATTTACCCAAGGGATACAGGAGTGCTGATGCACAGGGGCACATGGACCCCAATGTTCACAGCAGCACTCTCAGCAATAGCCAACACATGGAAAGAGCCTAAGTGTCCATCAACTGATGAATGGATCAAGAAGATGTGGTTTATCTATACAATGGAATACTACATGGCAATAAGAAAGAATGAAATCTGGCCATGTGTAGCAACATGGATGGAACTCAAAGGTGTTATGCTGAGCAAAATAAGTCAGGCAGAGAAGGACAGATACCATATGTTTTCACTCATATGTGGAAAAGGAGACTTAACAGAGGACCATCGGGGAGGAGAAGGGAAAAAAATAGTCAAGGAGAGGGAGGGAGGCAAATCATAAGACACTCTTAAATACTGAGAACAAACTGAGGGGTGATGGCGGGGAGAGGGGAGAATGGGTGATGGGCATGGAGGAGAGCACTTGTAGGGATGAGCACTGGCTGTTATATGGAAACCAACTTGACAATAAACTATAATAAAAAAAAATGGCTTGGTTGGGGGGTGCCTGGGTGGCTCAGTTGGTTAAGCATCCAACTTTAGCTCAGGTCATGATCTCATGGTTTGCAGGTTTGAGCCCTGCGTCGGGCTCTTTGCTGACAGCTCAGAGTCCAGAGCGTGCTTTCGATTCTGTGTCTCCCTTTCTCTGCCCCTCCCCTGCTTGGTCTCTCTTTCAAAAATAAATAAATAAACTTAAAAAAAAAATGGCTTGGTGGGTACGCTTGTATTTGTTATATCGTAGTTGCACATGTCCTACATATATTTAGTAAAAATTCTTTTTCATCTAGTTAATATTTAGTTCAAACAAACAAAAAGAAGTGGCCCCTAATTCCGCCCTGGCTGTCCCCACACGCTACCTCACAGAGGCCCCCTGGGGTCCTCGGCACCAGTCCTGAGCACCTGCCCCAACCAGGCTCGTGGTGCACGCTCATGCCAGCTGGATGGCGAGGAGGGCCAGGCCATGACTGGCAGGATGTGCCCTGAACTCAGCCCAATATGCCACACCCGAGGGAACACCCGTGTTGTGGGGCAAGAAATAAACCCAGGAGCCTGCTCGGCGGAAAGCACCTCTGTCCTCAGTAGCAGGAGTCTTGAGTCCTGTTCTCAGCCAGAACTTGAGGGTGCAGCTCTGGCCAGCCATGCGAAACCCGGAAGGGACGGGAGAACCCAGTCCAGCTGTGCCAACAGAAAGGCCAAAAGCACCCCCTGCTGAAATGATGGCTGAGCTCCTCCAGCCCTACAGGGTCTGCTCTTCAAAGTTCTTACGATACGGCTGAGAAGAAAAACATCAAGAAAAGATAATAATTATAATAACAGTGTTCATCAGCCCCTTTATTTCTCACACTAACGATATATAAGGAGGTCTTACTTTCAAAAACAAGCTTTAAGGGGCCCCTGGGTGGCTCAGTCAGTTGAGTGTCCAACTTCAGCTCAGGTCACAATCTTGCAGTTCATGAGTTCGAGCCCCACATAGGGCTCTCTGCAGTCAGCATAGAGCCTGGAGCCTGCTTCAGATCCTGTGTCCCCCTCTCTCTGCCCCTCCCCTGCTTGGGGTCTCCCCAAAATAAATATTTTTACAAATACAAATTTTAATTTTAAAAATACAAGGAAATTAAGGTTCAGAGAAGCTAGGTGCCCTGTCCAAGGCCACAGAGTTGGCAAAGGGGTAAAAACGCAATCGGACCCAGGAAGTTAGCTCCAGAGCCTGCAATTCTTCCATGCAAACACCTCCCTTTCAACTTCCTAGCACTACCATTTTAACAACCATACAAGTGAACGTTCAACTTGGGAGTGGAGCTGAAGGGATTGAGCACCAGTGGCTTTCAGGAGTGGAGTGGAAGAAGCCAGCTGAGCTAGGCTCTAGAAAGATGGATCTAGGTCAAAGGTCAGGGACCCAATGCCTGCTGGGACCAGAGGGCAGAGGCCCCAACACACAGTTCATACGACAATGTAAGCCTGGCCTGGCACAAGCAGCCAGTTGGTGATTCAGAACAGCAGAAATCGAGACCAGTCAGAAAGAGCCTTGGACACTAGACTGAGAAGTCTAAGGAGCTATTAAAATTCCTGACCCCAAGGACTTAAGCAGAATTACCGTAGGCTCCAGCAATTTCACTCCTGCGTGTGCACCCAAGAGCAATGAAAACATAGGCCCACACAAACACTTGTACACGGACGTTCACAGCAGCATTATTCACAATCGCCGAGAAGTGGAAGCCACCCAAATGTCCATCAACTGATGGACAAATAAAATTTTACCATTCACCACAAAAAAGAAATGAAGTATTGGTACACACCGTGACATGGATGCACCTTGAAAACACGCCACTCGGTGAAAGGAGTTAAACACAAAAGGCCGCCCATTGTGTGATTCCGTTTATATGAAATGTCCAGAAGAGGCAGCTCCATAGACAGAGAAAGTAGATTAGTGGCTGCATGGGGCTAGGTCACACGGACGAGGATAAGGGGTTCAAGGATTCTTTTGGGGAGGGTGACGAAAATGCTCTAAAACTGACAAATCCACTGGACTGTGTACTTTAAATGGGTGCATTGTCTGATATG